AACCTCTGCTGTTTGTGGGTTAATTTTCCTGACACAGGTGTGTGCAAAGCCAATTGTTGTCTTGTGATTATTTAGATAATAAAGATAAGGTAAAGATAATAACTAAGATGTGTTTGTGGATGAATTACCAACCAGCCTGCAGTGGAGGAATGGAGCAGTGACTGCACCTCACATGTCAGCAGGAGAACCAACAGCCCGCTTGGGACAGTAATTAACAAATTAACTGATTACCCTCTCCATGGGGCATCCTGGAAACCGAAAACAGAGAATTTGCATTCTGTGAGGGGGTGTCAGGGGACAGCCAGACCCTGCAGGCTGAGGCTGCCTGGGCAGATCTCAGCTTAGGCAGGACCAGCTCCCAGCAAAATTGCCAAGTCCAGCCTGAAGATGAGGAAAGAAAACCCAAGAATGAAAGAAAATCAGGGGAAGGCTGCTGGAAAGGCAGAGGGAGAAAAAATGTGGGCTGAAATGAAAGAGTGGGAGAAAAAAAAATAAATTTACATCTTTCTTTATTCCTTTTCATTTATAGACAATATTGTAGTTCTGCACAGAAGGACTCATTTAGGCCTCTGCACAGCCCCGGTGACCCTTCCTAATAGAAACCATTTAAATCTTTAAACAATTTACATGAAAATGTAACTTTGCTGTGAATATATTTCTTCCCCCTCCTGCTCCCATCACGAGTGCAATCCTTCAAACTTCTGACAGCTTCCATTATCTCTTAATGAAGTGAGAGCATCTTTCTTAGGAGCCCTGCAGGCCCCGAGGTTAATCGGAGAAGCGAGGTCCACAAATAAAAATCAGGGGAGGGACAAGAAAAAGGGAAAGCAAACATTTAAAAGGACTCAAAAGGGCAGCTGCACCACCCAGAGATTTAATTCCAGGAGGGCACAGCCTCCTTGAGAGCCGGGGAGACTCCATCCTTCCATCCCAGAGGAAACTTCCCTGGTTCCCAATCTCTGTGCCAAGATAAGGGTGGGGTAAGGGAGGCAGCACCTCACCCAGAGATCCCACTGAAAATAAATGTAAAGGGAAAGGAATGAGGAAAGAAAGGCTGAAAAATGATCAAGCTGCCAGGAGTATGGAAAAGGGGATCAAAAATCAGGAATGTCTCAGGGGAGAGCAGATTCACAAGGAGAGGGACTGCTGACTTGAACAGGAAAGAGATGAAAGCAGAAAGCAACAGCAGAGAAAAATAAATAGTTATTTCCAGAAAAACAATGAAATTCTGGGCCAGGAGGAAAAAAAGAAGCCCACCAAGATTTTACAGTTCTGGTTGTTGAAGCTGCTTAAGTGAAGCAAACAGAAAAGGGAAGAAGAAAGGCCAGGAATAAGGAGCTGAGGGATGCAGGGAGCTCTTCTTTCTGCAACAGTTTGTTCTCTCCACCAGGCTGGGGTGGGATGGGGGCATCCAACCACAGCTCTGCATCTCTGAACAGATGGTGCAGGAGTTCAGCAAATTGCCTCCAGGCCACAGATCCACGAGCCCTTGGCCAGAACTGGAGAGTGTTTCAGCCCTAAATTTAAAACCACTCTGCTGCTGCAAAATAAACACCTGTGTGGAATTCTCTCATCCTGGGGAAGGAGAAAGCCACTGAAGAGAAAGAGCAAAAGGTTTTCTTTGTCCTACATCTCTGTGCTGTTTTTTCCTCTTGCACTTTCTTCCTCCCCACTGCCCTGGCAGGCAGGGACACCCAGGGGTGTGAGCTCCAAGCATTCCCAGGTTCTCCTGGAGAAAGAGCACCAGGAACACGCCCTGCTCACATCCAGATGAGGCAGGATTGGGGCAGGAAGGGGTGAAACCACCTGTGGGAGTCAGCACCAGGCTGGGAGCTGCCTGACCCTGCATCCTCCAGCACTTCAAGGTATTCACTGGAGCCATGTCCATCCTAAATCCATCCTAAATGCATCCCTGCAGCTGCAAAAGCCACATCCCTCAGGTGGGATGCCAGCTCTCCTCGCTGAGAGCTGCAGCAGACAGGCATCAATCGAGGCTGAGTGAGGTATTACTGTGAGAGGTGAAGGTTATTGGAGGAAATGGTCTTTTAATTTATCCTGTCTCAAGGTTTCTGATCAAAACCAGAGGGCTTTCTTTCAATTTTGCTTGTGTGTTATTTGAAAAGTGCTTAAAAATTGGGGGGTTAGGTTGTCTAAATGAGCTGTTCAAAAAATTAAAGACACACAAAGTTCCTCACCTGGGCAGGGGGAGCCTCCTTTGGTGGCTGATGTTAAACAGGGTGGGAGCTCTGCTCTGAGCTCTGGGGGTGCTGAGCCTGGCAGGGCACTGAGGGTTGGGGCTGTCCCAGCTAAGCTGGGCTTTGCAGGGCACAGATCCACCAGCTCAGGCAGCAAAGGGAGGGAGGGTGTGGATGGGGCTGGAGGTTGGCACTGCTCAGTGTGTGCTCAGGGCTCGGTGCCACCCTCTGCCTGCCCCGTGCAGGGCGACACCAGCGCTGTCCCCTCACAAAATGGACAATTCTGCCCTGCTCCCTCCTCGCTGTGGGACACAGCAGAGTCCCAGGGTGAGAAACCCACCTCAGGCTGAGGTGAGAAGGGCTGTGGGGCGGTAGGGGTGACACAGACAGCGCAGGGACAGCTTCAGAGCTGAGCCTGACGGGTGACCTGGAGAAAATATTTATTTTTTTTCTGGCAGCAGCTGTGAGAAGGAGCCACCTTGGCCAAAGCAGGCAGGACGAGCATCCCTGATTGAGAATCCCTGATTTGAGGCTCCATGGGGTATCCCACTGCTCCTGGACTGGAGCCATCCCTCCCTGGAGCTCAGGGGTGGGAAAACTCTGCCCTGCAGCAGCAGAGGAGCAGCTGAGGGTCAGATTCTTCCTCTTCTGCCACCCCAACTTCTTACCAAGCTCTTTCCCCCCAGCATGGAGAGGCACAAACAGCTCTGGTTTGGTGAAGAAGATTTGGCTGCAGGAGAACAGTTGCAGCAGCTCCAAACTGGGCTTTTAGCCCTTCCCTTCCCCTCAGCCCAGAGTTAACCTCTTCCCCTTTAATCGAGGGCTTGTCCCGCTCCCATGACACCATTAACTGGGAGCTGAGTGCCCGGCAGCCAAGCAATAATGGCCCTGAAAATGCATTTTGCAGCAATTACTGGGCTGCAGGAACTGGCATCTCCATCCCAGCAGCTCCGGGACAAGCAGAGACCTGGCAGGAGCACGGCATGGGGGCTCCTCACTGTTTCTGGATTTCAGCTCCACTTCCCCTCCTGGGTGTGGGAATCCAGGGCTTCCCTCTGGCTGCCCTGGCAGGTCTGGGACCCTGGCAGGGGTCAGGAACCCCCCTGGACAGAGCCCCCAGAGACACTGGCTGTGATCTCTGTCCATGGAAAAGAGTTTTCAATCTTACAGGATGAATTACCAGCTCTGAATCTTTGATATAAGTAATTATAATAAAATAGGTGACTTGAAGAAAATATTTTTTTCCGGCAGCACCTTTGAGAAGCAGCCACCTTGGCCATGGCAGGCAGGACAAGCACTCAATCCCTGACAGAATTTGAGGCTCCATGGGGTATCCCCCTGCTCCTGCACTGGAGCCATCCCTCCACAGGGTGGGAAAACCCATCCAACAACCAGCAGCACCAGGGATGGGGCCGGTGCCATCCTGCCCTGGCTGCAGGAGCTGCCCCTGCCGGCTGGTGAGAGGCTGGAGCTGATCCTGGGGGGATGGAGCTGATCCTGGGGGGATGGAGCTGATCCTGGGGGGATGGAGCTGATCCCTGGGGGGATGGAGCTGATTCTGGGGGGATGGAAACTGATCCCTGAGGGAATGGAGCTGATCCTGAGGGGATGTAACTGATCCCGGGGGGATGGAGCTGATCCTGGGAGGATGGAGCTGATTGATCCCGGGAGGATGGCGCTGCTCCCTGAGGGGATAGAGCTGCTCCCTGGGGGGATGGAACTGATCCTGGGGGGATGGAGCTGATCCCTGGAGGATGGAGCTGATCCTGGGGGGATGGAGCTGCTCCCTGAGGGGATGGAGCTGATCCCGGGGGGATGGAGCTGATCCCGGGGGGAAGGAGCTGATCCCGGGGGGATGGAGCTGATCCCGGGGGAGGTGGAGCTGATCCCTGGAGGATGGGAACTGATCCTGGGGGGATGGAGCTGCTCCCCGGGGGGATGGAGCTGCTCCCGGGGGGATGGAGCTGATCCTGAGGGGATGGAGCTGCTCCCCATGGAGGATGGAGCCGCTCCCCATGGAGCCAAACTCATCCTCCCGCCTCCACGGCCGGGAAGTGGGATGCTACTGACACCCAGTGGCTCCCAGCACCCTGCAGACGGCGACTGCAGCCCGGGCTGGGGCAGGGCAGGTGGCCCTGCTGCCCCTTTTTTGGGGACTCCTCTGTGCCCCTGGGCACCACTGCCAGCAGTGACATCCCTGGCATCACGGCGGTGGGCAATGGGACACGGGGCAGAAGCAGGGACATTCCAGAGGCTGCTGGATCCATGTTCAGCTCAACAGGGTCTGCCTTGTGCGGGGAGACAGCGTGGGAGGTGCTGTCACCCCCCAGCACAGCACAGCCTCCTCTGCAAACAACATTATTTAGTTCTGGCTAATCAATAAATGCCACAGCGGTGCTGGAGGGGGACAGAGGCTGGGCTCAGTGTCCTCTGAGATGTCCTGGTGGCTGCTCCCCAGATGCCCTTGGTCAGCTCTGGCCACAAACACTGCAGGGATGGAGGCTGGAATTTTGGGATGGAGCTGCTCTGTGGTAACTCTCCTCCCAAACATTCTGACCCCAGGCCAAGCAGCAGGTTCCAGCTGGAAGTGGATTTAGCTAAATCAGGAAAGCCCATTCGCATTCCAGAAGAAGCTCATCTACACAGGGAATTATTTAAGAGCAGCAACAGAGCTTTTCCATCCCCTCCACATGTCATTTCAGCTCCAAAATCAAGCAAAGCAAGCAAACAGCGTGGAAAAATAACAACAAATTGCCTGCATTTGGCATCTCACAGTGCAGAGCCAGAGAAGATGCAGCTTCTGACCTGAGAAACAGCAGCAGATAAGATGGACACAGACCAGAATAAAAAAGGATTCAGGAGCAACACTTCAGAGCTGAGAAAAACACATTTTCCTGTGGGCCTCTACACTGACGAGCTCTTGTTTTTGCTTCAGAGAGCACCCAGAGGCTGCTGAAACAGAAATGCATTTTTAATTATTTGTTGTTATCAATTGCTTTGCAGATAGAAGCTGCTGATAGCACAAGCCCATTGCAGGGAGCTCAGAGGAGCTCTTTGGGCCACGGGTGAGCACCAGGACTGCAGAAAGGCAGAACTTACCTGAGAAAGGCCATCCTGGAGCCTCAGAGTGGAGCAGCCATCCCTGCAGGATCAGAGGGAAGAGCTGCTTCCCCAGCAAGTGTTTCCATCACATTGTGGGTGGGGACAGAGAAGCAGAAGCACTCAATGGGAATCTCAGTGGTCAGAACACAGATTTTGTTTGTTTTCCTCCAGACAGGGCTGGGGGATCTCTGCTTGCAGGAGCAGGAAACGCTGCTTGGAGATCAGGCTCCAAATTTCGGCTACAAATAAGACAAAATCTGGGAGTTCATCCTTCCATCCTTTTTCCAAGCCTTCACTGTCTCCTCTAACCAAGGGACTTGGGGACAGCTCTGAGGTGTCCAAACAGTGCAAGGGAATGCAGAGGATGAATTAAAACTTCATTTCTCAGCCCAAATGAGCCTCGCTGGCAGCCTCTCACACACCCAGGCAGCCAGCTCTGGATAAAAATGGGCTAATTAGCATCGACCCCATGATCAATAGCTGATGAATGGCTACTCAACAAGGAGAGTGAGGTGCCACTGCAGGGGAGCCTCCTGTCCCCTCCCCAGGGACCCCTGTGGGCACTGCCTTGCTCCTGGACCACAATGGAGAGCAAAAGGAACGCTCTGCTTTTATCCCTAAAATGTAATGACTGCTTGTGTCCCATTTATCCCCCAAAATGGGATGACTGCTGATGTGGCAGCAGCAGGGACCTGACCAGAGCAGTTTCCTCCGGGGCAGGAAAGGAAACTGTCCCTTTTGCTGTCCCTATTGGTGTCCCTTGTGTGAAAAATGTGTATTTTATGATTGGCTTTTCGCAAATGTTACGATGAATATTATATGTGTAATGTTAGAAAGTTATGCTGTATTAATTCTCTTACGTAGTGTGTTAAGTGTAGTTTTAGGTTACAACATCATGTTAAAATAGAGACTGTGTATGTGGGGGAAGTTTTTTTTAGGGATGAGATACTCGGTTTGAGGAACACCTAAATCTTCCAAAGGAGAGGAATTTATAGTTTCTTATTAGAAGAAGCTGATTTCTTCAGGCCTTGCTCAGACTCCAAGATGTCAGGGGATTAAAAGTAATAGTTGACATACAACAGACAGAGTTTCTTGTTTAGAATAGAATGTATGCATAACCATGAAGGATGTTGAATATGCCACAGTGTATTGGTTTAAGGGTGATTCCTTTGTTCACAAGTCATGCTTTTCGTGACTTAGTGTCCGAGAGCATCCAGACATCCTTAATTCTTAACTTTTTATTGTCTTGCAATTGTCCTAACTCGAAACTTTATTACTCTAATTGTATCACTATTTTTATAACCATTTTATTATTATTAAACTTTAAAAATTTTAAAAACCAAGCGATTGGCGTTTTTCACACTTGGCAGCCACGGAGGTGCCTGTGCCACCCTCAGAAATGCCCTGTGAGAGGAGAAACCCTCTCTGCTCCCAGCTGGCATCCCATACACGCTTCCCTCTCCTTCCCAAGGAACATCTTTCACCCACAGGGTTAAACACAGCTCCTGCAGCGACCTCCCAGCTGGGCCTGCCTCCCTTCCCCAGCTCTGTGCATGATCAGCTCTTCCCACTCTTCCCAACTTGACACTTCCCTTTTTTTTCCCCCTGTGTGTGTTTTGTTCCCTGCCAGCTCCACGGAGCTCCTCGCTCCTGTTTCTTCTGCACAAATTGTTTTTCCCTTGCACATTGTCTGGAAAGGAGGAGCGGGAGGCTCACAGCCCCCTTCTCATCTCAGATCACACATTTTGCCTCTCTCCAGAGGTGGCTGCTCCCCAGCCTGCCCGAGCATCCTTTGGAGGCTGGAGTGTGCAAGGACCATCCTGCCTCGGAGATGAAAAGTCCTGAGGGAAAAAGGGAAAAAAAGCTGAGGGAGATGAATAAACGAGTGGTGCTCAGTTCTCTGTTTTCTGCTCCCACTTCCCTGCCTGCTGGCACTGATGAATGTCTGGGGGCAGAGTGGAGCCTCACAAAAGAGCAGTGGCAGCAAGATTTGCAGTGAAGATCCTGGAGATCCTGTGATGCCTTTTCCTTGGTCCTAAAACTGAGAGCCAGACACAGTTAAAGGATAAAGGGTTTTTGCCTTTATTTAATAAGGATCCTTATGGTGCACCACTGAAATGTGCATACACAATGCACACACAAAATAGAGCCCATATACAATTTACAGACCTTCCAAATTAGCATATCTAACAAAGATGCCTCAATGAGAGGCTTGAATGAATGGTGTGATATCCTCCCACCCTGAAGCATTCCTTCCTGGGTGGGTTTTATCCTATTTTACAGGATGTATTTTAGAGAGGACCTTGCTTTCTCAAGGTAGTGTGAGGTTTTCCAGCCTCCAGCTGCGAGGCCTTTAGGATGTTTGCTCTCCTGGCCTAACAGAATGCCAGGACTATGCTAAGATACCAGAATAAGGAAAATATATATATATATATATATATATAAAAATAAATAAATATATATATATATAAAAAATATTAAGTAAAAATATAAATAAAAATATATTCAGGAATTATCTATATATAGAAATATACATATAAGCTATAAGGAATATATCTATATGTATATATATATGTATTATATATAAGGAATTCTATAGATAAGGAATTGTGTATATATATTCCATATTTATATATATATAAGGAATATATATATAATATATAAGGAATTATATATATAAGGAATTCTACATATATTCCATATTTATATATATAAGGAATATATATATAATATATAAGGAATTATATATATAAGGAATTATATATATATATATTCCATATATTTATATGCAATATATATATATATATAATTAATAAGGAATTACAAGTATGCATGAAATTGTGTATATATATATTCCATATATTTATATGCAATATGTATATAATTAATAAGGAATTACAGGTATGCATGCTAAGGGCACTGAGGATACATAAAAGGTATATAAAAGAAAAGGCAAAAAATCATCATGGCACCACCTGCAGTGGCTACAAAAAGGCTTTGTGCATTCTCACGTGGGTGCTGAACTCCTGATGGGTAAACACAAGCTCAGCTTCACAACCAAAACCCCCGCGCTGCTCTCAGTGACTCCAACCCCACGATTTTCATCCCACGATTTTCAGGGGCTGTGCCCTGGTGGCACCCAAGCTGGGCTGTGCAGGTGCCTGGGGACAGCTGAAGGGCACAGCAGCTCGGGCTCAGCGCTGGCACAGCGCGGGCAGGGCTCAGGCTGGCCAAGGGCTGATGAAGTCATGAGTAACTTCAGCCAGGTGCTGTCTGCCAGGATGAGGCAGAACCTCCTCGCCAGCCAGGGCTGACAGAATTCATCATTCAGGGCCCTTCCCGTGTGAGAGGAACCCAGGGGCACAGCACAAACCAGGCTGCCTTTTGTAGATGTGAACTTCTGAGCCAGAAGAGGCTTTTCTTGGGGGGAGCTGAAACTCTCAAAAATGCTCTTTTCCTTGCACTGTGCAGCTCCAGCTCCTCTGCTGCCCTGCTTGGCTCCCTGGAGCTGTCACCTGCCTGAGCATCCCATAACCCCGAGGCTGTGCTGTCGGAATGCTGGGCCTGGGGGCTCCAGGGAGCTGTGGGATGGACCTGGGGACATTGGTGTCCCCTCAGAGAGCTGGCCATGCCCCGTGTGTTGTCCTGGCCTCGCTCCCGGGTGAGGCACCACCACCGTGCCCACTCCAGGAGGATACAGGGAGTGCCCGTGACCTCCTGGCATAGGGAGAGGATGTGTCCATGGCACTCAGCTTCAAAGAGGGCTGGGAGATTGGCTCCAGTCAGGTGAGCTTGTAGCTGACCTTTGAAATGACATTTGAGACCCTGGTTTCCAGACCTCTGCACAATCCATGACTGCCCAAATAAACACAAGATGCATCACTGCCCAGCGCTGTTGTCTTGGTTTGTAAAGCCAGGTGCCTGCTAAGGAAGGCAGGAGCCTCCCCTGAATTGGAAAATGTAACCCCCCCCTCCCTCCAAATTTTTATAATTTTGAAATTAAGGGGCTCTCAGGCAAAGAAATGGGAATAGGAATAACAGTTCTTTGCTAGGAAAATTAAAAATACAAATGCAATAGTAAAAAAGAAAACAAACCACTGCCAGAGTCAGAGCAGGCCCTGGCAGCCTGTGGGTCAGGGAGGTGGCAGCAGTCCCATCCCAGGGTGGCTCAGCCCTCCTGCAGTGCCAGCTGTGCTTCTGCTGGAGCAGGATCCTGCACAAGGGGGGAGTTTTCCTCTGGAGCTCCAGGGCTAGGGAAGATGGGCCTGGGCTCCTCTGGGAATGCAGTGGGGCAGAAAGCTGCTCCTCTGGGAATGCAGTGGGAAGAAAGCTGCTCCTCTGGGAATGCAGTGGGAAGAAAGCTGCTCCTCTGGGAATGCAGTGGGCAAAGGCTGCTGTGCTGTTCCCAGGTCAGATTGTATCCAGGTAGGAATGTTTGGCTCCTCCCCTGGGCAGAGCATCTCCCCATGGATGATGGAATTTTCTCAGCCATGCAGGGACACTCAGTGGCCATGAAGAGAAGATAATTAATAATTAATAGCCCATTAACAGAAGATATCTCCTGGAGGGAGGATTGCGTGTGGGAGAGATTAAGAAAAAACTGCCCAAAGTACAGCAGAGAACTGCCCCAGCTCTGACAGGTGGGATTAGAATAAACACCCCCGTTTCCAACCTAACACAGCTGTGCACCAGCAAACCCCCATCACCACCTTCAGAAAGCTGGAAAAGCCAGGAGGGTGTGAGAACACACTCCTCAGCTTGGATTGCTCCACGGTCACAGCTCGGGGCTGTGGGTGATGGGGGATCTGCCTGTTCTGGGGCTGCAGGAGGGATGTGGAAACCACCAGGGATTTCTGAGGGAAGAGAGGCACGGTGATCTCCTGGTAGGATGCGGCATGTTCTGAGCTGACAGAACTCCTCACACAGGACATTTTGCACCTCTGCTGTCCCCAGAGCCCTGGGAAAGCTCTCTTTGCTGTGCTGGCACAAGGGGAAGAGCCTCCCTTGAAGAGGGAATGACGCCCAGGAGCCATCAGGCAGCACAGGGCACTCTCTCTGAGACTGAAAACAGGAAGGGAAAAGGCAGGAGCCTCCACAGTCATCCCAGGAGCCAAATATCTGAGGTACCAC